GTTCCTTTGGACAATTATATGTCACAGGTCACAGTCGCGGCAGCATTGGTGACACATCACCACTGGGACCATGCTGGAGGAATGGGTGAGTTTCGCAAAATCTGGCCGGCAGACAAGGTGGAAGCTTACGGCGGCGATGAGCGCATTGAACACTTAACGCATAAAGTCGAACATGAGGAAAAATTCAAAGTTGGCGAGATGGAGGTGTGAATGCGTGGCATGTCCATGTGTATCTAATTCTAAAGTGTCTCTGCAGATAACCGCCTTTAAAACACCTTGTCATACGAAAGGACATATCTGCTATTACGTGTCACATCCTGGAGATGACAATCGTATTCTGCTTACTGGCGACACCCTTTTCATCGCTGGATGTGGCAAATTTTTTGAAGGTTAACTTTGACTATGGTCCGCTTGCCTTAATCCAGTTGTGCGCTGATCTCTGACCATCTCCATTATAGGAAATGGGGCAGAAATGCATCATAATCTGAACGAAGTTCTTGGGAAACTACCGGATGAAACCCAAGTTTATCCAGGGCATGAATACACGCTTAGCAATCTCAAATTTGCCCAGCATATCGAGCCAAGCAATGAGGTTATATCACGTGATTCTTAGTTTTGTTTATTGATTGTCAATTTTTTGTCAATCTCTAGCATGTGAAAACCAAGCTGGAATGGGCAGCTAAACTTCGTGCTCGTCATGAACCCACTGTTCCATCGACTATCGGAGAAGAGAAGGAGACGAATCCATTCATGAGAACATGGTCTCCAGAAATCCAGAAGAAAGTTGGTGCTACTGACCTCATAAAGGTGATGGATCTAGTGCGGCAGGCGAAGAATAGCTTCCGAGGCTAATGTCCACTTTCCCATTGTAATGTAATTCTTGCTAATTATATAATTTTTCAAATTACTGCAGCTGTAGATTATCGCTCTGTTCCATAAAGTTTTTTTTTCAGTATCCTTATTATCCTTCTTGAACCCACTACCCTTTTCTGGTTCAGAATATCGCTAAGTGTTTTAGATGTAGAACGCATCATGAAATGAGCTTTTGCATTCCCAGACTTGGCTGTTGATACACTGTCGTCTTTCTGATTAAGCAGTAGGGTTGCGGGCGACTTTTCCTATCTCGGACAGCCCATCATCCACTGGTCATCTCATCTAGAAAATGTACTGAGATGGATTCGGGTGATGGAACGAATGATCTTGATATTGCGCAAGGAGCCGTCCTGGTGAAATCATGTGAGGTAATCTAACCCATACTTTGATCTTTAAGACATGGCTTGCAAGCAACTCTGTCTCTAAAAGATAACTCGGACCGTTTTAGGAGAAAATTGTTTTAGGAATGACACCTTTATCATCGATTTACAGGTCCCGAAAGATGCGGCAGAAATTCGTGGTTATGATTTTAATGGAGGCATTGATTTCTCCAAGCTTATGGCGTCGTACTCGTCAACTGGTTTTCAAGCATCTCATTTTGGGAAAGCAGTGAAGGTATTCTGGCATATCTTCTCTTCTTCCTTCTTCCTTCAGTTTTCTTTAGGCAGTCAATGCTATGTTAGATGAACGAGAGGATGTGGAAGGAAACGAAAAAGCTGGGCAATTTTTTCCATATCCTGATCAACGTCCCATTCCCCCTTGCACAATTTTTCTTGGATACACATCAAATCTAGTCACCAGTGGTATTAGAGAGGTAGTTTCGAACTTGGTTTTGATTTACCCTTCTTTCATCCATTC